CCCACACAAAATAAGTATAAGTAACTCTTTAAAAAGGTTTTTCTCCTGCTGAGTATCTTGGAAATGTTTACTTACCTAGAGACTGGGTTGGAAGGGGTATATAGCCCAACTTGGTCTTGAACTCTCCCAAGTGCTGGATTAAAGGCATGCGTCACCACTGCCCAGTTTAATGATTGAAAGATCCTAATTTCTAGGGTTCAGGGAAGGATCCCCCAGACTCAATAAGCCACGCCAATGGATGCAAACAGCAAGAGAATTCTTTATTGTCGAAGGTGCCAACGGGAGACTCAGTACTCCAGTGAGACTGAGCCCCCCTTGTATTTTTCCAGCCAGTATTTATAGGGTCTCAGGGTTACATAATGGGGAAGCATAGCAACAGCAACATCATTGGTCAACTCAAATTAAATTAACATATGGGGTGGATCAACATCAGGGCAAGACAAGTCTACAAAAACAAGTCTAAATTAAGCTAGTTTCAGCCAGTTTCTGCCCCCTTGGGCTTCTATACACAAAGGACTGGGTGTTTTTCTCAAAACTGCCTCTGCTGCCCATAGATATCCTGTTTTCATCCTCTAGGCAGGTGCAGCCAGTCTTAAGACTGCTTCTGCCGCCCACAGGTATCCTGTTTTGCCCTGGCCTAGTTGATCAAAACATTTTAAGATGGAGACTAGGGTTGGGGTCTTTCAGTCTTAAGATGGAGACTAGGGTTGGGGTCTTTCACGATGAATTTCATTTGTTTATTTGTTTTTTATATGTTTGGTTTTAGGGTTTTGTTTTGAGAAGAAGTATCATTATATAGCCTTGAGTTTCGTGGAACTCAGCTTTGTAGCTGGCCTTGAATTCACAGAGATTTGCCTCCCAAACTCTGGGATTAAAGGTGTGCATCACTGCTATTATTTTAAAGTTGACTTCTTGTTGTTAACATCACATCTAAAGATACAGGTGCCTGTATACTGACTCTTGTGCCTGTGTCACGGGACTCCCAAACAGGACCATCACAGAGCCGGTATGGATGCAAGCACATTGAGGTTTACTGATTGCAAACTAGCTAACTCAGACCTTAATCCGACACTCTGACACATCAGGTGGAGAAGAAGGGCCTCTAGGCTTCAGGGTAAAGTCTTTTTAAAGGGAAAAACCACAATCAGGGTGGCACAAGCCTTGGCGTTTCAGGATTGGGTAAAATATACAAGTTTTGAATTCGTTGGTTGGGGTATAGGGGAATTTCAAAACAGTGACAGTCAGTATACAGGAATTTTAAAACAGGTTAATCAGATACCTCCAAGGGAGTTTAAAGCAAGCAGATTTTGTTTGGACACCCTGGTGGGTCACTTTGACCAGGGCTGGCACAGTTTCTTGGGAATGTTTATGACTTTGCTGGGCTGCATTCATCCCCTAGTGAGGCCCTGTCTAAAATGGAGTTCTTTCTCAAAATGGAGTTCGTTCTGCTCCTTCGACTGCATCTCCAGGAACAGAAAACGGGACCACAGGTTGAAAGGCATGCCTAGAGGAGGAAGAGAGGACTCCTGCCACCTGCCGTCTGCTTTTGAGTCAACAGCCTACCCAAGTCTAAACCGATGCTCCGGGCACTGCTGCAGGAGCTTTGATCTGAAAGTCGTTTCTTAATCTATCGTAGAATCCGGGTGGCGTGGGAACTTTATATTCTTTTACATTTATTACTTATTTATATTCGCAAGTGCCACTAAGTGCATGTGGCGCCCAGAGGACACCTTGCAGGAGTGAGTTCTCTCCTTCCATGGTGTGGGTCCTGAGGTCATCAGGTTTGGCCACAAGTGCCGTTACCTCCTGAGCCATCTCACCAGTCGCCCGCATTTAAAGAAGAAGAAAAGGTTCTTGTGGTCGCTGGATGGCACCAGCGTCTGTAACAGCCAAACTGAGAAATGCGCGGTGACTCAGTTGGCTAGGCCCATAGACGATGCTAAGTAAGAGACCGCCTCAGTGAGCAGAATGGTAGAATAGGAAACGAAGAAATGATTTAAAGCGCGTTTCAGAAACAGACGTGACACAGCGTGATAATTGATTGACTATGCCGAGCAAAGGAGAGGAGGAAGTTAAGTTTGGACATAAGGGACGGAGGTGACCTTTCTCCAAGTCCTAGGAGTGACAACGTGATGTGTGAGACACTGAACATTTTGTCGGTTTCCTTGTCTCATACTTGCCAAAGCCAATAAGGTAGAAAGTGGTTACTACGGGTGACTAATCTTTTGTACAAGGGAATAAGCGTTTTAAGAAAAGGCACATTCACTAAAATGGCTCCGTGGTTTTGTGGCTATTAATGTTTGTTCTGATACCAGCTGGTTTTTTCCCAGATTCCGGTCACTCCAGAGCAAGTTCGCTAAGTCCTGGAGTACTGAGCCAAGCAGCAGAAGTGATGTTTATGTATTTATTTTTGTTGTTCCAGAGGTCCTACCCATGACCTTAGCCGTGCCAGGCAGGTGTTCCACCTCTACACTGCATTGCTAGCCAGTGGTTTTCAGAGACAATATCCTGTCATGTAGGCGAGGACGGCCTCCAGCTCCTGATCGTCCCCCATCAGTCTCTGAAGTTACGGAGTTGCAGATGTACACCAGCACAGTCAAGCCGGGTTTTTAAAAATCTCTCTCTCTCTCTCTCTCTCTCTCTCTCTCTCTCTCTCTCTCTCTCTGTGTGTGTGTGTGTGTGTGTGTGTGTGTGTGTGTGTGTGTGTGTGT